TCATATTCCATCAAAACTTGTAACACCAATTCCATCCCTTAATCTGAGAAATTGATCAGTCTTGATAGCTTTCGTCAGAACATCTGCCAACTGCTTCTGAGTGCTGCAGTGTACAACTTCTAACACTCCACTCTGAACTTGATGTCTCAGAAAATGATACTTGGTCTCAATATGCTTGCTTCTCCCATGCAGCACTGGGTTTCTGGCAAGGTTGATTGCAGACTTGTTGTCAATCATCAACTTCAGAGGTTTGTCTACCTTAATCTTCAGATCCTGCAACAGATTCAGAATCCACACAGCTTGGCATGCAGTAACAGCACCTGCAATGTATTCAGCTTCACAGGTTGACAACGCCACAACAGGTTGCTTCTTGGAACACCAAGAAATGGAACCTCCCAGAAATTTGAACAAGTACCCAGATGTACTTCTTCTGTCAACTCTGTCTCCACACCAATCAGAGTCTGAATAACTCAGAAGTTCTGACTCATTATTTCCTCCAGAGGGAAATAACACTCCATACTTCAGAGTTCCTTTGATATACCTCAGAATCCTGACAGCAGCTTGGTAATGGGACCACTTAGGTTTACTCATGAACCTACTAACCATCCCAACTGAGTAGCAAATATCAGGTCTGGTATTGCACAGATACCTCAGAGAACCAACCAACTGTTTGAAGGTTGTAGCATCCACATCCTTTCCTTCAGAGTCTGAATCCAGTTTCTGATTTGTATCAGAAGGTGTGACAACCATCTTACAATTCTTCAGATCAAATCTCTTCAGAAGTTCTAATTCATACTTGAGCTGATGCAAAATGATACCTTTCTCAGAATATCTGAACTCCATCCCTAGAAAGTATGTCATTTTACCTAGATCAGTCATTTCAAATTCATTCATTAGAACCTTCTTGAACTTGGCTATCTCCTGTTCAGAACTTCCAGTCAATAGTATATCATCAACATATAAACATACCAGAGTCATATTGCCTTCAAAAGTATGTTGAACATAGACACCGTACTCCATCTCACATTTCTGAAAGCCTTGCTTCTTGAAAAAAGAATTAATCTTCTGATTCCAAGCTCTGGGCGCTTGTTTCAGTCCATATAGAGCTTTGTATAATCTGTACACCATCCCTTCCTGATTCTTTTTTACAAATCCAGGAGGTTGTGACACGTAAACTTCTTCTTCTAATGGACCATTCAGAAATGCATATTTTACATCTAAATGCATCATAGGCCAATTCCTGTTAGCAGCTATTGCAATCACCATTCTGATTGTTTCATGTCTTGCTACAGGTGCAAACACTTCAGAATAATCCAGCCCAGGTTTCTGTAGAAATCCTCTGGCTACCAACCTTGCTTTATGTTTGCCAATTGAGCCATCTGGCTTTAACTTCTGCTTGAAAACCCATCTGACGCTGATGGCTTTCTTGTCTTTTGGAAGTTCTGTCAGCTTCCAAGTCTTGTTTCTCTCTATAGCATCAAGTTCTTCTTTCATGGCCTTCAGCCAGAGCTTCTGCTTAAGAGCCTCCTCTGTACTTATAGGTTCAGAGTCTACTAACATGGCACACTGAATAACTTCTCCTTCAGAGTCTACTTCAGTGTCTTGCAGCATGTCAAATTCTGCAAATCTTCTGGGAACGCTTCTGATTCTTTGTGGTCTCTGAACTTGTTCAGAGTCTTGAGCTTCAGAGTTTCTAACTTCAGATGATTGACCTCCAGAGCTTTGACCATCTTCAGAGTCTGGCATATTTCCAGAGTCTGAATTGCCACCAAGATCTGGATTGCCATCAGAGTCTGAATCATCAGAGTCTGGGTCATCTGGGTCACCTTCATCTTCTGAGTCTTCTTCAGAGTTTGAATCAGTATCAGAGTCAGAGTCAATATCAGGGTTTACTTCAACTTCAGAGATTCTTAACTCTGGCCTTTCTTCAGAGGTTCTAACATCAGAATCAGATTGAGACTTATCCCAATTCCAAACTTCTGATTCCTTCACAATCACATCTCTGCTGAATTCAATTTTATTGGTTTCTGGACAATAGAGCTTGTATGCACCTGTACTGTGGTACCCTATCAGAATCATCACTTTGCTTCTATCATCCAGCTTCTGTCTTCTGACTTCTGGAACATGTTTATAGCAAACAGAACCAAATACCTTCAGATGACTAACACTTTGCTTGTCTCCAGTCCACTTCTGCATAGGAACTATTTCCTTCAACTTCTTCGTAGGACATCTGTTGAGTACATACGTTGCAGTGGCAACAGCTTCTCCCCAGAACTTCTGAGGAAGCTTCTTCTCCTTTAGCATGCTTCTCACCATATCAAGCAAAGTACGGTTTCTTCTTTCAGCAAGACCATTGTGTTGAGGGGTATAAGGAGCAGTAACCTCATGCTCAATTCCATTCTCCTCACAGAACTTCTGGAACTCTTTGGAGTTATACTCACCTCCACCATCAGTTCTAAGAATCTTCAACTTCTGACCACTCTGATTCTCAGCCTTCATTCTGAACTTCTTGAATTCATCAAACACCTCGTGTTTGAACTTAATAAGGGATACCCATGTCATTCTTGTGAATTCATCAACAAACAACACAAAGTATTTATTCCCTCCAATTGATGCTACTGGAAATGGACCACACACATCAGAGTGTACAACTCCCAAGGCATGTTTTGCTCTTGGAGCAACTTCTGATGCAAATGGCAATCTTGGTTGTTTTCCTTCCATGCAAACTTTGCATGACTTTTCAGGCTTCTTAATTGCAGGAATTCCATGTACCAATTTCTTTGAATTCAGATGTTGTAAGCTTCTGAAATTCAAATGACCAAATCTTCTGTGCCACAGCTCACTCTCCTTCTCAGTACTTGTTGCACTAAGACACTCTGAGTCTGCAGTTCTGACATTCACCTTGAATGTTCTATTCCTTCCCTGTTCTGACTCCATAATCAACTTCTGATTACAGTCATACAGCTTCAGAAGATTGTCCTTCATGGTAACTGAGAAACCTTTCTCAATTAATTGCCCCACACTCATCAGATTGCTTCTGATGCCAGGTACATACCACACATTCTGAATCAATGCTATTTTCCCATTGTTCAGAGTCACTCTGACATTTCCCATACCTTCTGCATTAAGATATTTGTCATCAGCACATCTGATCTTTGTTCTCTTTTCAGAGTCAAAGTCAACCAGCCATTTCTTGTTTCCAGTAAGATGATTTGAACAGCCAGTGTCCATATACCACCAGTCTGTCAGATCATCAGATTCAGAGGCCATCAATAGCACAGATTCGTCATCAGAACTTCTGGCTATATTTGCTTCTTCTGATTTCTTCTCCTTGTTTGACCAACAATCTCTAGCAAAGTGACCAAACTTCTTACAACAGTAACATTGTATTTTTCTTTTGTCATACTTCTCTTTTCCCCTCTGAGCATTCTTTTGTCTATCAGAGGTTGAGCTTTCTGACTTCTGACCACCATCAGATCTTCTCTTGACTTCTGACTGCTTCTGATACCTCCTATCAGAAGTTGCTTTCAGAGCTTGCTGCTCTACTTCCCTTTCAGAAGTTCTCTCAGTCAAACGCAACTCTTGCGCTTCTAAACTGCTCTGCAGCTCTTCAATTCTCACTGTGCTCAGATCTTTGGAATGTTCTATTGCTACCACAATGTAATCAAATTGAGGAGTAAGGGATCTCAATACTTTCTCCATGATTGTTTCTTCAGAAAGAGTTTCTCCACATGCCTTCATCTCATTAGTGATCAGAATCACTCTGGAGATGTATTCTGAAACTTTCTCATTATTCTTCATGTTGAGATTCTCATATTGCTTTCTCAAGGACTGGAGCTTCACCTTCTTCACTGATGCGTCACCACCATAACATCTCACCAGAGTGTCCCATGCAGCCTTTGCTGTTGTAGAGTCTGCAATCTTCTCAAACACGTTTACATCCACACATTGATGAATGAAGAACAATGCTTTCTGATCCTTCTTCCTTACTTCCTTCTGCGCGTTTTTCTGTTCATCAGTTGCATCTGCTGCTACTGGAACATAACCATCAGTGACAAGATCCAGAACATCTTGAGCACCAAACAGTACACGCATTTGGATCATCCAACGATTCCAGTTTTTACCATCAAATACTGGAAGTTTGGTGTTCATGTTGCCGTTTCCGTTCATCTTCTACTTTGCACAATACACTCAGAGTTTTCTCACACAGTGTTTCCCAACCCACAGAATTAAAAAAAAATTCTGATCAGATTTTGTTCAAGATTCAACAAGAATCTGAGAAACAAAATCAAACACACAAGACCTCACGTTCACTCGTGTTTCCCGTGTTTCCCAATGAATCTGAACCGGAGCTCTAGATACCAATTGTTGGTGCAAAGATAGAATAAATGATGAAATAGGAAATATTACTAATAAGAGAATGACGGCTACAAAACATGATATTAGGTTACAATGATTGTCACCCTATTTATAAGCTAAAACTAGGGTTACTAGAATAGGATAAATACTAAAATACCCTCTAACAAACTTATGGGCTAAGAAAATAGTACAACTAAATAAATATGAATTATCATTAATATTCTAATAATATGTGTGTCTATGCATCTCCCAACATAACTCGGTTGTTAAAGTAATCCACCATTATTAATGAATAGATAAGAATTTACTTTAAATAATTGATATCTAATATTTTTGGATTAAAATACAATTTTACTAAAATTAAAATGAGTTAATGAAATAGATATATGTATGTCTATGCATTTCACAACATAACTCAGTTGTTAAAGTAATCCACCATTTTTAATGGATAGATAAAAATTTACTTAAAATGTTAATATTTAATATTTTGTGGTTAAAAATACAATTTTATTGAAATTAAATATGTATGTCCATGCATATAAATATATATAAAGCCTTCAACCTTTTGTTTTATTGCATCATAACATAACCAAACACATACACATAAAACAATATTAACGTTAGAACATACTTGGTCATCCATGAAACCGATATTGGCTCACCTATGCATTTCTCCGAACAAACGCAAAGCCAATAAGAAAGTCAACAACGTTTCATCCGATGAAACATGTCTCAGTAATATTCACTCAGATTCTCTTCAGAACTTGTTCGAGATTGGTCTTCCATGTAACGAATCGGTGGAAGAAAAACTCTGTTGGATTCAGTCACAAATCATCGGTGACGATGCAGAGTTTGATTCTCCGTTCGGAAGACGAAAGCTTGTCTATGCAGATCATACAGCTTCTGGTCGCAGTCTTCATTGCATTGAAAACTTCATCACCAAACATGTTCTTCCTTTCTACGGTATTAATATTATTTACTTAATTATAGTTGAAAATTTTGTATTAATGAAACTTGTTTTCGATTATGTATAGGTAATACTCATACTTCTGAGAGTCACGTTGGAAGCAGCACAACAAAAATGCTCCATGAAGCAACTGAGTATATTAAGAAATGTTTAGGAGGTGGAGAAGACGAAGCACTCATGTTATGCGGTTCCGGCGCAACCGCGGCGATCAAGAGGCTACAAGAAGTAATGGGAATCGCAGTGCCTTCTATTTTGAGGGAGAGAATGTTGAGGTGTCTTGATGAACAAGAAAGATGGGTGGTTTTTGTAGGACCTTATGAGCATCATTCAAATTTACTTTCTTGGAGACAGAGTTTGGCTGAGGTTGTAGAGATTGGACTTGATGATAAAGGGTTGCTTGACATGGAAGCTTTAAAGCTACAGCTTGAAGCTTATAAAGATTCTAATAGACCATTGTTGGGATCTTTCTCTGCTTGTAGTAATGTTACTGGAATTTACTCGGATACGCGCGCGATTGCGAGGCTTCTTCATCAATACAATGGATTTGCATGTTTTGATTTTGCAGCAAGGTATACATAATTAGTTTGCACTAGTTAAGAATTCTAAATAAGGAAAATATGTTATATTTAGTTCACTCAATACACACAATATTCTTTAAAAAGTCTGATTATTTCTCTTTTCAGGACATTGAATACACATATATTTAGAAAAAAAATGTATTTTCAATCTCTTAAATAATGCCTAACTTACCATTTTAATCTCTTAACCAATGCCTGAGAGCACTCGTTAGCATTTCCCTTCATTTTTCTATTTCTAGCGTTGCATCGTTATATTAATTTGTTTGTTTAATTAGTGGTCCTTACGAGGAGATTGAGATGAGATCGGGGAAGATAGACGGGTACGATGCTGTATTTATCAGTCCACATAAGTTTCTAGGGGGTCCTGACTCTCCTGGAGTGCTTTTGATGAACAAGGCATTGTATCATTTGAGATCTGCACCTCCATCTACTTGTGGAGGTGGAACTGTCAATTACGTTAATGGCTTCAATGAAAAGGTACTATGGTTTTTCTTCTTCTTGGTATGAAAATTCATAATTAGGTGAACAATGTATAAAATGGTAATATCAAGTTTGATGATAGTAGTCATGTTTTATATAATAATTTGAATCCAATTTCACATTCAAAATTCACAGGCGGTATATTTAATTAAGGGAAAATTACATCACCTCTTAGAAATTTATTAAAACGACACTATTTTAAAATATGTATTAATTAATATCTCTTAAGATTATAGTATATAAGTTTTTAGTCAAGATAAAAAGAGTAAAAATAAATATCATTTATACCTACCAGTCAGTGAAAATTAGATATGAGTTTGAATGAATTGACTGTTGATGTCAGTTTACTAATAAATTTTATAGAAGAAAGTGTAATTTTTCTTTTATTTAATGATACAAACTCAACACATAAATTATTAATAATTAAAAAAAATTCTAAGATGAGATATAAATATAGATATTTTTTAAATTTCAAATTTTAATTTAATAAAACACGAACACGATATAAATATTAAATATGATACGTATTTTATGTGGCATGGAAAAATCTAGAATAGTGTATGTATTCTAATATTTTGTCTCTTTAATGTTTTTGGTAAAGTCATTCATTGTGTCACTCATGGCATCAGAGTTCTTGTAGGATTTTATGCCTTCTGACTTCTTCTTTATTTGACTAGAATATGTCTTCAGACTTGCAACAACTAATAAAATACTGGTAGGTTTGATATTTTGTCACGTAAATTCATACACTTACATAATATAACAACAATAATAATATAATAAATTGTTTCAATAAAAATCAAATAATAATCAAATAGAAATAGATAGATATGTTTGCATTTATTTAATGTTATCACAACTGTATTCCAGATTGATGCCAGTATTATATTTTCATATAAATTTTTTGAATGCAATATTGGTGAAGTGTTTGGCACGATAAAATAAAACTATATGATATACCAAAATAAATGTAAGTATGAATGCATAATTATCAAGTGTGTGCCAAAAAATTAAACATATATTTCGTGTGTATTTGGGTTATACTAAAAAGTCCATTACATGATTCACATCAAAAAATGTCAACTATTGTTTTTTCTTGTTTTTTCAGGATACATTATACTTGGAGGACATAGAAGAAAGGGAAAACGGTGGCACACCACCAATAATCCAAACAATGAGAGCAGCATTAGCATTTTGTGTGAAAGAATTCATCAACTACAAAGAGATTGAAAAGCTTGAACAATTCTACATTAACAAAGCACTTAAGAGACTCATGTCTAACCAAAACATTGAAATCCTAGGAAACATGGACACCAAAAGACAAGCTATATTGTCTTTTGTCATTTACTCTACCACAAAAACTAAGAACAAAAGAGGTAAGATACTTAGTGGCTCTTTTGTTGCGACATTGTTAAACGATCTCTTCGGCATTCAATCGCGAGGTGGATGTGCTTGTGCTGGACCTTATGGTCACCATTTGCTCAACATTAATGAGCCTCAATCACTTGAAGTTAGATCAATAATTCAAGAGGGTTATGTTGGTGCGAAACCGGGTTGGACAAGGGTTAGTTTTCCTTATTACATGAAGGAAGAGGACTTTGAGTTCATTTTGACTGCCATAGAGTTTCTATCTGTTTATGGACAAAGGTTTCTTCCACTATATAAGTTTGATTTGAAGAATGGGAGTTGGAAAATAAGGAGACATAAACTTGAGACTTTGATCAAGGAGAGTAAATGTTGTTGTAAAGAAAGTAAAGAGAAAACAATAAGTGATTATGTTAAAGTTGGTAGTGAGTATAATGTTGGAAGTAAACAAATTGGAGTCTTGAGAAGGAAATCATACATTGATGCTAAATGTATTGCTAGGAGACTCCCCAAGTTTTCTTCTCAAAGTATGCTACATCTTGGTGTAGATGTAGATCCTAGTGTGCTCCATTTTATAGTTTAATTATGAGAATTGTTGTATAGAACTCACACTAGTGGCTACTCTTACTAATTGATAGTGACCTAATAAATGTTAGTGATCTTTAGTGTCATTAACTTACTTGTAACATGTAAGTTTTGTGTCTTGTAAAAAGGACTCATCTTGCATAGCAAATATATACTAATAAGAATATAGTAAAAAGACCTTTTTCTTTTAATATTTTCTTCTTCATCTATATTTTCTAATATATTTTTATAATTTTCTTAATTTCATAATTTGTTATCAACACCATAGTCTACTATGTGAGTATTGTCTAATTTGTTTGGATGTTATATGGTTAGAATTCATCTTCTTCTACTCTTCAATATTTTTGGATTAGTTTAATTTATAATTTTGTTACTATGTTTTTGTCTTATTGTTTTGATGTGATTTTTTTGTGTGTGGAATGGAATACATTAAAAGAGTTGTATAAGTGTAAGAATGAATAAAATGAAGTATGCTTGTTTAAAAAGTTGGTTAATATGAAATTTAAGGATGTTGAATCAATGATAATATATATATATATATATATATATATATGATCTGACCTGATCAGGAGGGATCACGGACTGGCCACACTCCGTTGGGCTGTTATCTGTTCGCCGGGGTGAGAAAGAGGAGGGGGGTGTACCTGCAAAGCACTCCGACGCCCAAGTAAGAATTTGGACAGAGAGGAAGCAATAGTACATAAAAAGGGGCAAGAAGAGTTACCTGACCCTCTTGAAGAAGAGGGTATTTATAGAGAGACCCCAACGCTGGGCCAACGGTCATTCGAGGTGGGCCGGACGACCAGGCCCAACCCTAATGACTGCTAGGGCTTACGTGGCGTAGTGAAGACCAGGACGTGGTCTTCGCCCTAGTTCAACCGCTCCTAGGTCTCCGGAAAGTGGGTTTGACCTGCTCTTTCGGAGGTGGGCGGTTGGCCGATGATGTGTCCCTGCGGAGGGGAGCACGTGGAGAACGTGCGCCGAACACGTTATTCTCCCCGCGGAGGGGAGCCCGGGTGGTCCTGCTCGTCCGGCGCGACGGACGACAAAGAAGGACGTGGAGATGTAGCTTGTGCCCGGCGGCCAGTCCTGCTCGTTTGAAGGGGCGCGTGCCAGGCGTGCCCAGTTCGCTTGTTGGGCCGCATGTGGTATTGGGCCTGCCGAGGTGAGGCCCATACCGGAACAGGAGCCCCCCAAGTCGAAGCTCTGGGGAAGAGCGAGGACTTAAGGTCGTCGTGTCTGGAGCGGGGACTTGCACGAAGGGCTCCGGTCGTCGGCAGAACGGGGAGGAGGCAGGTGAAGGGACGCGACTGTCAGGTTGCCGCCACGTGTCTTGTGTTAAGCGGTCGTAGGGGCGGCTAACCTATGTCATTAATGAGCCTAGGGTCGCTTCGAGTCCCGCGCCGGGTTATAAATATGGCGGTCCTCGCTCATTATGTTACCTTTCTCCCTGCTAATCTTTTATCGTCTCTGCTCGTCCGCCGCTTGCCGCCGATCGCCGCCGTACCGTTTGCTCTTTTCTTCCGTCCGCCGCCGTTACAAGTGAGTTCCTCTTTTCCCTCTCTTTTTATTTCCGTCGTCTAACTGGAACGTGTGGTCGGGGCGGGATGAACGCCCCGAGGAGGGACGCGAGTTCCGCCGCGTCTGGCGAGTTTTCCGATGAATGTCCCGGGGACGGTAGGCTAGTTCCAATGAATGCCCCGAGGACGGGAGCTTTTTCTGATGAATGCCCCGAGGACGGGGGCTTTTCTCCGATGAATGCCCCGAGGACGGGGGCTTTTTCTGATGAATGCCCCGAGGACGGGGGTTTTTCTCCGATGAATGCCCCGAGGACGGGGGCTTTTTCTGATGAATGCCCCGAGGACGGGGGCTTTTTCTGATGAATGCCCCGGGGAGAAGTACCTTCTCCGACGGCCGTCCCGAAGGGGGTGAGGGGTCGTTCTTCGATCCCCGAGGAGGGTAGACGGGGAGCGAGTGTCTGCTCGTCGCTTCTCGGCCTTTGTCGCCCTTTCACTTGACCTGCGGTGGAAGGGTGGATTTGATCCTGGCTATCGAATTCACCGATGTCCTCTGCTTTCAGGTGTAGATGTCGGCTCTGGTGCCGGGGATAATGGTTGAAGATAATGAACCCGAGGTCCCGGAGTATGACGACGAGCGTATCGCCCCGTCCGAGGAGTGGGCGGCCGAGGAGCCACTTTCCATCCCCTCTTGCTTTGTGGCCGACTCGTCCGACGTGTATGCCACGGTCGAGGACACGCCGATAGGAGAAACGCAACACTGGCAGGTGTACCGCCCGAAAGAGCATCACCGGATCTGTTCGCGATATGGGCGGAAGATGTTCCCGATGTATGAATTTTATTTTAAAGAAGCTCGGCTCCGGTTACCGTTTTCCGCCTTCCATCTGGGGCTTTTTGACTGGCTGCGTCTTGCCCCGTCTCAGCTGCACCCAAACGCTTTGGCTTTCATCCGGGCTTTCGAGGTGGTGTGTTTCTACCTCTCGGTGGAGCCGACGGTGCCGTTATTTTTCCGCATCTTTCATTTGCAGCGGCAGACGGTGCGAGGTCGCCACGGATGGGTCTCCTTCAAACAATCGACCAAAATTTTCAAAGCGTATAGCGATTCTGTCAAAGACTTCAAAGGTCGGTTCTACCTCGTCAAACCGGTCACGCAGCACGGCTCAGACACTCTCTTTGACGAGGGCGAGCGCACGATAGATGGCCAGCGGTTCCGCGCGTGGCTTCCTAAGATACATCTACTGTGGACCGCGGAGCATTTCAGTCGAGGGACGGATAGGTATATCGTCCGGGCGGGGACCCTCGAGGAGAAGGACATGGCCGCTTATTTGAAAATAATTGCCTTTGTGCGGTCACTCCCCCCGTCGAAGCTGGTGACGCCCGACGGTCGGTACATCCTCGACGCCCAGGGGAACATACGTACCAAGAAGCGTTTGATAAATACTAAGACTTTGCTCGGTTGCGCGACCGGGGCGGCCGCTCTGGATTATCTAGGTAGGGATGTTCGTTTTCCCTCGTGGTCGGGGTTTTTGATCGTCACTAACCTATTTCTTTGTTTTTGCAGCGAACATGTCTACTGTCGACGAGCGGGTGAAGCAGTTGCGCGCTGCCAGGAATGCCGTGGCCCCGAGGACGAGGGTGAGTCAGCTGGTCGGTCAGGAGGTCGCGACGCACGGGGGGCAAACTTCGTCCTCGTCGCCTCAAGAGAGCCAATCCCCTGTGTCTCAAGGAGTGTCGAAGAGGCAAAGGTCCGAGGAGCCTCGGGTGGTGGATCTGACGGTCGGCGCCGTCGAGGAAGGTTATGTCGTCCCTCCCTGCCACCAGCACCCGGGATATTTTCATGGTGCCCGTTCCCCCACTGTTTCCGCCGGGGAGGTGAAGGCTGTTCGCCAGGCTGATCGGGAGACCCGTCGACGTGTCCTGGCTGAGGACTTGGCCGCGATGATGCGGACGTTTACGACGGCTCTCGTGATGAACGAGGAGGGATGCTCCGCTGCTGAGCTGTCCAAACTGCAAGGGGATCTCACTTTCACGCAGTCGCGATTGGCCAAGCTCACTGAGGAGTTGGAGAAGAGCCAGAAGGATGCTGCCGAGCAGCGGAAGCGGGCAGAGGGTGCTAAGGGGAAGGTGACTTCGCTGGAGGAGAAGCTGGGGACAGCGACGGCCGAGGTGCAGGCGCTGAAGGTTCGCACGAAGGTTTTGGACAGCGCTGTTCGTCCGGCCGAGGACGAGACTGATGGGGATCGACGGCTAATCACCCGTGCTGACTTGATTGCCCGTATCCGGGTGTTGGAGAGCGATTGTCTGGAGGCCGTTGAGGTCGGGTTCAAGAACGCGGTCGAGCAGATTCAGGTCGCCAACCCTGGTGTCGAGCTGGTCGTGGACGGGATAGGGCCGTACCACGAGATTGTTGATGGGAGGGTGATCGATCCTTATCTTGTTATCCCCGAGGAGGAACCCGTGGCTGTTGACCGAGCGGACGAGGAAGCATAGGTTGCCGGGCCTGCGTGCTCGTTGTTTTTGTGGCCTGCGTGCCGGTGTTTATCTTTTTCTTTGGGCCTGCGTGCTCGTTTTTGTACCATTGACTACTGGGCTGGTGCCCGCTTTTGTTAAATATATTTATCATGGATTTTTTAAGTGTGCGCTCGTTATTTGCATGTTGTTTTATGCTCGTTTTTCGTATTTGTTCGAATGCCTTTGATGTGTATGACATTTCTTGTAGATTTTCTAAGTGTGCGCTCGGTGTGTTTAGCTCGACAATTTGTTACCGGTAGTGTAGGGAACTGGCCGGTTTGGCCGGGGATGTAGCCGGGCCGTTTCGGGGGTAGTTTTCCCCGGGGCGTGGACGGCCCATCGCGAGCTGGGTGTCCTGCCTGTTTTGGTACGGCGCTGAGGAGCCTCGGTCGAGGTATTCCCCGCCGAGCAAGGCCTTCTGCCCGCGCACACGAGAGGCAGGGCTTGCTTTTCTTTGGTCGCTGGTGGACGCGGGGGTGTGCGGTGGTACCATGTCGCCCCCCCAGTGGTCGGGACGATGGGTCGTCGCGGGCAATGTGTTAATTGTAGTACCGCTTAAGCTTCGCGGCGTTCCATGGTCGAGCTAATTGTTCACCGTGCAGGTTTTCGAGGTAATAGGCCCCGTGCTCCGTTTTGTCCCGGACTCGGTACGGGCCTTCCCAGTTCGCAGCCAGTTTGCCCTCGTGGGAGTCTTTCTGGTTTCTGCGTAGAACTAAGTCGCCTGTTTGAAAATCGCGCTTTATGACTTTGTTGTTATGGCGAAGTGTGACTTGTTGCTTCAGCCGGGCTTCCCGGAGGGCTGCTCCTGCGCGGATTTCTTCGACGAGGTCGAGCTCTTCTCGGAGGGAGCCATCGTTGTCGTCGGTGTCCAGGGGAGCTTCCGTTCGTCTGGACGGTTCGCGGATTTCGACCGGTATCACGGCCTCGGTTCCGTACGTGAGGCGAAATGGGGTCTCCCCCGTGGTTGAGT